AGAGACAGAGACAGAGACACAGAGACAGAGACAAAAACAGAGACACAGACAGAGACACAGACAAGACAGAGACACATACAGACACAGACAAGACAGAGACACATACAGACACAGACACATACAGACACAGACAAGACAGAGACACATACAGACACAGACAAGACAGAGACACAGACACAGACACAGACAGACACAGACAGACACAGAGAGAGACACAGACAGAGACACAGACAGAGACACAGACAGAGACACAGACAGAGACACAGAGACACAGACAGACACATATACAGTCTCCATCCTCCCCCTACTGACCTGGAGTCCCTCTGGTCCCTTCACAGACTTGTTTGTCCAATAGACCAGGTCTGCATCTCGCACTAACATATGTCAAGTCCATTAAGCTGTAACCGTGTCTGTATCTGGGTAACCTCTGACATGTCCCGGAGCAGCGCCCTCTCCGCGGTGACAACGGCGCCCTCTCTGCGGTGACGGCGCCTGGGACAGATGCCGGTGAGTGGATGGACTGTTTGCACCGGAGGCTCTAAACGGTTAAGTAGCTTGTTGTCTCTCCCGAGGTTCGGAAGTCTTCTCCGGACTGCGCTGAGAGTCATTACTCACGCTGGTATTGGCAGAGCAGGAAAAATACAACATGGATCCACGACTCCAAGGGCAGCAGCGAGAGGCCGAGTCCCGGGGCACAGGCAGCTCCAGGCGGATGGAGGGGGGCCGGGTCTCCCCCAGTTTGGCACACTTTTAACCAGACTCGGTGAAGGCAGATATAGGTTATGGTTTATACACTCATAGAAACTCAACAACCAACAGGATAGATTTGATTATTTCTATATTTAATCATGAAATGTTGTAATTTTATATCAAAGTGTTTTTACAGTATGTGTTTTTGTATCAGCCTGAGGTCAGTGAGGTTAGACCAAAACAATGGACGGCCTTGGAGAGCAGACCAGACCGGACCAGACCAGGCTCTTGGGTCTCACCATACACGTCCCATTGTACTAACGTCTCTGTATGAAACTGTAGCTTGTGTAGTATTCTTACAGATCACCAGAAGCGCTGTACGTTGCTCAGGTGTTTAAAATCGAGCCTCAATAAATACTTTGTAATTTTGCCGCTTCAGAAAGGGCAGCGATGCTAATCCCTGAGGTTGCGCTTTGCTTCTAAACCTCAGAATGTGGTCAAGTGAATCTCAGAGTGTTTACAGTGGACTGTTCAGCCCCGCTCTGTCCACACTGATCGTTTCATCACAGTAAACGATTGGCCGCGCTCCCGGATGAAGGGGGGGGGTAGAGGGGGGGTTGGCTGTAGAGTGCTTTTGGGGGGGGGGGGGTGGGGGGGGCTGTCTGGGTCTTCTCCTCAGTGTGAAATTGGAGTTTATTTTGGAAAAAGCCGCGATCTGGAACACATCAGCCTCATTTATGGAGTTGGAGAAAGGTCAAGCGTTGAGTCCATTAAAGAGAAGCACAAACAACACAAACATCACCGAGGACCAGAGCGAGGACCAAGACCAGAACGAGGGCCAGGACCAGGACCTGAGCGAGGACCAGGACCGGAACGAGGGCCAGAACCGGAGATAGGGGCTGAAGCTCTCTCTCTAGTCTCTCTCTGGTCTCTCTCTGGTTTCTCTCTGGTCTCTCTCCGGTGTCTCTCTGGTCTCTTTCTAGTCTCTTTCTGGTCTCTCTCTGGTCTCTCTCTGGCCTCTTGCTTGTATTTCTTTCTGGTCTCTCTCTGGTCTCTCTTTGGTCTCTCTCTGGTCTCTCTCTGTTCTCTCTCTGTTCTCTCTCTGTTCTCTCTCTGTTCTCTCTGGTCTCTCTCTGTTCTCTCTCTGTTCTCTCTGGTCTCTCTCTGGTCTCTCTCTGTTCTCTCTGTTCTCTCTCTGGTCTCTCTCTGTTCTCTCTGGTCTCTCTCTGGTCTCTCTCTGGTCCCTCTCGGGCCTCAAGCTTGTCTTTCTTTCTGGTCTCTCTCTGGTCTCTCTCTGTTCTCTCTCTGTTCTCTCTGGCCTCTCTCTGGCCTCTCTCTGGTCTCTCTCTGGTCTCTCTGGTCTCTCTCTGGTCTCTCTCTGGTCTCTCTCTGGTCTCTCTCTGGTCTCTCTGGTCTCTCTCTGGTCTCTCTCTAGTCTCTCTCTGGTCTCTCTCTGGTCTCTCTCTGGTCTCTCTCTAGTCTCTCTCTGGTCTCTCTCTGTTCTCTCTCTGGTCTCTCTGGTCTCTCTCTGGTCTCTCTCTAGTCTCTCTCTGGTCTCTCTCAGGTCTCTCTCTAGTCTCTCTCTGGTCTCTCTCTAGTCTTTCTCTGGCCTCTCTCTGGTCTCTCTCTGGTCTCTCTCTAGTCTCTCTCTGGGTCTCTCTCTAGTCTCTCTCTGGTCTCTCTCTGGTCTCTCTCTGGTCTCTCTCTGGTCTCTCTCTAGTCTCTCTCTGGTCTCTCTCTGGTCTCTCTCTGGTCTCTCTCTGGTCTCTCTCTGGCCTATCTCTAGTCTCTCTCTGGTCTCTCTCTATTCTCTCTCTGGTCTCTCTGGTCTCTCTCTGGTCTCTCTGGTCTCTCTCTGGTCTCTCTCTGTTCTCTCTCTGTTCTCTCTGGTCTCTCTGGTCTCTCTCTGGTCTCTCTGGTCTCTCTCTGGTCTCTCTCTGTTCTCTCTCTTTTCTCTCTCTGGTCTCTCTGGTCTCTCTCTGGTCTTTCTGGTCTCTCTCTAGTCTCTCTCTGGTCTCTCTCTATTCTCTCTCTGGTCTCTCTGGTCTCTCTCTGGTCTCTCTGGTCTCTCTCTGGTCTCTCTCTGTTCTCTCTCTGTTCTCTCTGGTCTCTCTGGTCTCTCTCTGGTCTCTCTGGTCTCTCTCTGGTCTCTCTCTGTTCTCTCTCTTTTCTCTCTCTGGTCTCTCTGGTCTCTCTCTGGTCTCTCTGGTCTCTCTCTAGTCTCTCTCTGGTCTCTCTCTGGCCTCTCTCTGGCCTATCTCTAGTCTCTCTCTGGTCTCTCTCTCTGGTCTCTCTCTGGTCTCTCTCTAGTCTCTCTCTGGCCTCTCTCTGGTCTCTCTCTGCTCCATGTTACGGCCCACGACCCATAATTCCCTATTTTGGGGATCACTTTAGTTCCTCCCGTGGTGTCTCTATGTGTTTGTGTTTTCCTCTCATTACAGAAGACCACGCTCGTGAGTCCTGGGCTCCAATTGGCCAATCGTTCCCCACCTGGAGCTGATTGACTGTGATGCCCGGGTGCTGATTGGGCAGCAGCTGAGGCAGTCCTCCAATCACCGCTCGCTCTCACCTGGAGGACCCGCTCTTATAAACTGCCAACCATCCGCGGCTCGGGGCAGCTGGAGTCAGTGGAGTCCAGTTCGCCGTTAGTTAGTCTGTGTTCTGTCACCTGTTAAGACACTTGCTTATCATTTGCTTACTGTTTAATAAGTTATTTATTTATTTACTCCGTGCGTTATGTAGATATTTAATCCTATTTTGTTTTACCTACCTTGTCATCTAAATAAATTATGATTGTAGTTACCATTCTAACATCTTGGTCATTTTGGTGCTTCCTCACACCTAAGCTGAGCCGGGTCGTAACACCCCACTCTCCACTTTATTCTTCTTTACGGCCCTTGTCACTGTCGGTCCTGAATCAACGCCGTCGTGTCCCCGTCCCCAGACCCCGGCGAGACTGTGTTTCCATAAGTTTCTTTTTCCAACTTTTCTTCATATTGTTTATTGCCTGCAGAGACCAGGAGAGAGCGGCGTGTCCGTGTTATTACCCCCGGCGTGTGCGTCTGCTCGCGCCGCCACATTATGCATGCATAAGCAGCTGACTGCGCCATTCTCCTCTCAGCAATAACTCCGGGTTCACGCTCCCAAATTAAACTTTTCTCAGAGGTTGTGCAGACACGAGCGCGCAAAATACGACTATATTTATACCTGGATCTGAGTGTGTTTTCCTCCGACGCTCCGAAAGTGCAGACGGAGCAGAGATAATGGAGAGCAGCGACCGTTAGCATTGACCGTTAGCACAGAGAGAGGGTCAGTGAGTGCCCTTTAACCCTTTAATGCTCATTCCTTTGAAGAAAGCAGTGGTTTTTTATTGTTTTTTGGAGATGTAGGACACTAAAAACACACAAAACAAATATCGTATGATGTTGTTTTTTGTGTTTGTTATTAAACATAATGAAATGGTGCCAAAACCAAGTGTGATTCCCCAAAAGAGGTAGATTTAAAGTTGAAAGATGTACATTTTTTATATCCAGTCATCATTAAAGGGCCCTAATCTGTCATTGTTAAAGGGCCCTAATCTGTCATCATTAAAGGGGCCTTATCTGTCATCATTAAAGGGCCCTAATCTGTCATCATTAAAGGGCCCTAATCTGTCATCATTAAAGGGCCCTTATCTGTCATCATTAAAGGGCTCTAATCTGTCATCATTAAAGGGCCCTAATCTGTCATCATTAAAGGGCTCTAATCTGTCATCGTTAAAGGGCCCTAATCTGTCATCATTAAAGAGCCCTAATCTGTCATCATTAAAGGGCTCTAATCTGTCATCATTTAAGGGCCCTAATCTGTCATCATTAAAGGCCGATAATCTGTCATCATTAAAGGCCGATAATCTGTCATCATTAAAGGGCTCTAAACTGTCATCATTAAAGTGCCCTAATCTGTCATCATTAAAGGGCCCTAATCTCTCATCATTAAAGGGCCTTAATCTGTCATCATTAAAGGGCCCTAATCTGTCATAATAATAAACTGCTCTTTTCCAATACTTCTTTAACTGATAACAGTCGTTCAGAGATATTTGAATTTCTAAATTACTTTTCCAGCCCCTAAATCTTTCTAAATCTTTTCATTTCGATGTCCCGCCCTCCACCGTTTCACCAATCAGAAAGTCTGTGATCCGGGCGCCGGAACTCACTGCGTGGAGCTAATCTCACTGGTAAAGTACCATGTGGCGTAGAACTAAAATCTCTCTCTGGTGTCTCTCTGTCACGAGTGATGAGGAGGTCAGTGCACGCATCCACCTGATCCAACCCATGTCCACACCCTGGTCTGGACCGGCCCCTGTGGACCCAGACCCCTGTGGACCCAGACCCCTGTGGACCCAGACCCCTGTTGACCCAGACCCCTGTGAACCCGGACCCCATGCGGACCCGGACCCCTGTGGTTCCGGACCCCTGTGGACCCGGACCCCTGTGGCAGATGGGCGTCTCAGAGCGGAGGCTGCACATGACACTCATTCACCTCAGACACACTCTCCCTCACTTCAAATCATAAATAATGCACAGGCGCGACGGTCAATGTGGGCCGCAGGGGGGGGGGAGGTGAGGAGGAAGGGGGGGAGGTGAGGAGGGAGGGGGGAGGAGGAGAGGTGAGGAGGGAGGGGGGGAGACCAGAGAGGGAGAGGAAATGACAAAGATGTGTTCTGGAATGCTCTGTAGCCGCTGCGTTTACAGTCAAATGTTTTCAAAGTTTTGGTCCATGTTTCACCTTTGTCAGACCTGGGGTTGTTTTTAGACACATCCATGCTGAAATCAGTCACTTTTGGAACAATTAGACTGAGACTCAGGCTGAGACTCAGGCTGAGACTCTGGCTGAGACTCGGGCTGAGACTCTGGCTGAGATTCGGGCTGAGACTCTGGCTGAGACTCGGGGTAGACTCTGGCTGAGACTCGGGCTGAGACTCGGGCTGAGATTCGGGCTGAGACTCTGGCTGAGACTCGGGCTGAGACTCTGGCTGAGACTCGGGCTGAGACTTGGGCTGAGATTCGGGCTGAGACTCGGGCTGACACTCTGGCTGAGACTCCGGCTGAGACTCCGGCTGAGACTCCGGCTGAGACTCGGGCTGAGACTCGGGCTGAGACTCGGGCTGAGACTCTGGCTGAGACTCGGGCTGAGACTCGGGCTGAGACTCGGGCTGAGACTCGGGCTGAGACTCCGGCTGAGACTCGGGCTGAGACTCGGGCTGAGATTCGGGCTGAGATTCGGGCTGAGACTCTGGCTGAGACTCGGGCTGAGACTCTGGCTGAGACTCGGGCTGAGACTCTGGCTGAGATTCGGGCTGAGACTCTGGCTGAGACTCGGGGTAGACTCTGGCTGAGACTCGGGCTGAGACTCGGGCTGAGATTCGGGCTGAGACTCTGGCTGAGACTCGGGCTGAGACTCTGGCTGAGACTCGGGCTGAGACTTGGGCTGAGATTCGGGCTGAGACTCGGGCTGACACTCTGGCTGAGACTCCGGCTGAGACTCCGGCTGAGACTCCGGCTGAGACTCGGGCTGAGACTCGGGCTGAGACTCGGGCTGAGACTCTGGCTGAGACTCGGGCTGAGACTCGGGCTGAGACTCGGGCTGAGACTCGGGCTGAGACTCCGGCTGAGACTCGGGCTGAGACTCGGGCTGAGATTCGGGCTGAGATTCGGGCTGAGACTCTGGCTGAGACTCGGGCTGAGACTCTGGCTGAGACTCGGGCTGAGACTCGGGCTGAGATTCGGGCTGAGACTCGGGCTGACACTCTGGCTGAGACTCCGGCTGAGACTCCGGCTGAGACTCCGGCTGAGACTCGGGCTGAGACTCGGGCTGAGACTCGGGCTGAGACTCTGGCTGAGACTCGGGCTGAGACTCGGGCTGAGACTCGGGCTGAGACTCGGGCTGAGACTCGGGCTGAGACTCGGGCTGAGACTCGGGCTGAGACTCGGGCTGAGACTCCGGCTGAGACTCGGGCTGAGACTCGGGCTGAGATTCGGGCTGAGACTCGGGCTGACACTCTGGCTGAGACTCCGGCTGAGACTCCGGCTGAGACTCGGGCTGAGACTCGGGCTGACACTCGGGCTGAGACTCGGGCTGACACTCTGGCTGAGACTCCGGCTGAGACTCTGGCTGAGACTCGGGCTGAGACTCGGGCTGAGATTCGGGCTGAGACTCTGGCTGAGACTCGGGCTGAGACTCTGGCTGAGACTCGGGCTGAGACTTGGGCTGAGATTCGGGCTGAGACTCGGGCTGACACTCTGGCTGAGACTCCGGCTGAGACTCCGGCTGAGACTCCGGCTGAGACTCGGGCTGAGACTCGGGCTGAGACTCGGGCTGAGACTCTGGCTGAGACTCGGGCTGAGACTCGGGCTGAGACTCGGGCTGAGACTCGGGCTGAGACTCCGGCTGAGACTCGGGCTGAGACTCGGGCTGAGATTCGGGCTGAGATTCGGGCTGAGACTCTGGCTGAGACTCGGGCTGAGACTCTGGCTGAGACTCGGGCTGAGACTCTGGCTGAGATTCGGGCTGAGACTCTGGCTGAGACTCGGGGTAGACTCTGGCTGAGACTCGGGCTGAGACTCGGGCTGAGATTCGGGCTGAGACTCTGGCTGAGACTCGGGCTGAGACTCTGGCTGAGACTCGGGCTGAGACTTGGGCTGAGATTCGGGCTGAGACTCGGGCTGACACTCTGGCTGAGACTCCGGCTGAGACTCCGGCTGAGACTCCGGCTGAGACTCGGGCTGAGACTCGGGCTGAGACTCGGGCTGAGACTCTGGCTGAGACTCGGGCTGAGACTCGGGCTGAGACTCGGGCTGAGACTCGGGCTGAGACTCCGGCTGAGACTCGGGCTGAGACTCGGGCTGAGATTCGGGCTGAGATTCGGGCTGAGACTCTGGCTGAGACTCGGGCTGAGACTCTGGCTGAGACTCGGGCTGAGACTCGGGCTGAGATTCGGGCTGAGACTCGGGCTGACACTCTGGCTGAGACTCCGGCTGAGACTCCGGCTGAGACTCCGGCTGAGACTCGGGCTGAGACTCGGGCTGAGACTCGGGCTGAGACTCTGGCTGAGACTCGGGCTGAGACTCGGGCTGAGACTCGGGCTGAGACTCGGGCTGAGACTCGGGCTGAGACTCGGGCTGAGACTCGGGCTGAGACTCCGGCTGAGACTCGGGCTGAGACTCGGGCTGAGAGTCGGGCTGAGACTCGGGCTGACACTCTGGCTGAGACTCCGGCTGAGACTCCGGCTGAGACTCGGGCTGAGACTCGGGCTGACACTCGGGCTGAGACTCGGGCTGACACTCTGGCTGAGACTCCGGCTGAGACTCTGGCTGAGACTCGGGCTGAGACTCTGGCTGAGACTCGGGCTGAGACTCGGGCTGAGACTCGGGCTGAGACTCTGGCTGAGACACACTGATGGGTGTGTGCGTCTCTCTGTGTGTGTTAGAATGTGTCTGTGTGAAATATGATGTGGCTTTTAAAACTGATCCTAAAACACTGACTTAAAAGTATAAAGGACGATTTTCACACATTTTAGGAAAGAACCGCCCAGAATGATTGACAGTTGGGAGGACCAATAGTCTTGATGATCCACCCGGAAGTAGAAAAATCTCCTTTACACCTTTAAATAGAATAATATTGACACATACATATTGCTCTCAGCCTGTAATCCCCTATGCTACCACCAGAGGAAGGGGAAGAATTAGTTTTGTTTATTTCCAAATAAGAAAAATACCGGCTGAAAACACAGACAGTCTATTGTAAAGAATGTCATGTTTTTGCAAGTAATTTCGCATAAAATACATTAAATTGAGCAATATTTTAGTTTTAAAAGTCAAAAAACTGCTGAGTGTGACGTCATAGTGCAGTGACATCATACTGTTGCAGAACTGAGGCATCTGCTTTTAGTCAGAAGGGGCGGGGCTTACTCTACCCTTAGCATGGATGGAACTAAAAACTATTCCAGGTCTTTCAAAGTTCTCCAGTTTATTACCAAAACATGTTCCTTTACAGTCTCTGTGGGCTGCACGGTGGCTGAGTGGTTAGCATTCTCGCTTCACAGCAACAAGGTCTTTCTGCATAGGTTTCCTCCAGGTGCTCCGGTTTCCCCTTCCACTGTAAACATGCAGAAATACAAAGCTAATATTTGAATCCTACTCATTCCAAAGCAGTACCTACAGTTTTCTCTCTCTCCTACATCATTATTCTCCTCTTTCCTGTCCTTCCTTCTGCCTTTTATTGACCGCTGTGGCATTAAACAGGACCTGAGTGGTATTAGAAAGTCTTAAATTTCACTTGGAGCTGCCGTGTCTCCGAAAAGGTCAATTTTAAAAGACTAAAAAATGACAAAAAAGGTGCTTTCTGTCATTGATCCTGAAGCAGCCGAAGAGAATACTTTCAGTTTCACTAAAGTTCACTGCAGATAGTTTCTGGGCTAATCTCAAAAATCTATAATAATACTGTACATATGGTTTCATTTGGAGCGTCTTTGGCCTCGGGCTGGGTCTCGCTCTCTCCGTCTCGACCAAGATAAGACCCTCGTGACGGTCGCCGCGGTGATGGCGTGGGAGATGGCGGACTGCGTTAGGATCTCCTGCCTCCGCGCTGTGTTTTATGGCCACTTGCTTTTCTCCTGATGGAATTACGGCCGAGTTTGTGCAGCGAGAAAGCGGAAGGCGGCGAGACACAGACCTCGGACCCCGGGGGAAAGACCGACCCCAGAGATATGTAGCAAGGACACCATGATGCAATGATGTGGTCCTGGGTCTGCAGCCTCAGTCCTGGGTCTACAGCCTCAGTCCTGGGTCTACAGCCTCAGTCCTGGGTCTACAGCCTCAGTCCTGGGTCTACAGCCTCAGTCCTGGGTTTACAGCCTCAGTCCTGGATCTACAACCTCAGTCCTGGATCTACAGCCTGAGTCCTGGGTCTACAACCTCAGTCCTGGGTCTACAGCCTCAGTCCTGGGTCTACAGCCTCAGTCCTGGGTCTACAGCCTCAGTCCTGGGTTTACAGCCTCAGTCCTGGATCTACAGCCTCAGTCCTGGGTCTACAGCCTCAGTCCTGGGTTTACAGCCTCAGTCCTGGATCTACAGCCTCAGTCCTGGGTCTACAGCCTCAGTCCTGCGGGTCTACAGCCTCAGTCCTGGGTCTACAGCCTCAGTCCTGGATCTACAGCCTCAGTCCTGGGTTTACAGCCTCAGTCCTGGGTCTACAGCCTCCGTACTTGGTCTACAGTCTCAGTCCTGGATCTAAGATAAGATAAGATAAGAGTCCCACAGTGGGGAAATTTCGTTGTTGCAGCGCACAGACAGGACAGTAGTAAGAGCACACACAATATACAAGTAAGCAGTAGCTATGTTTCTTAGCTAACATAACTGTCTGTAGATGCTGAAAATGCTTCAATACCAGTCAACAAATATATACATGTAGAAGTGCAGTTATAAACTGTACAGTTAAATAGTGCAGGATAATAAGTACTGTATGTAATAACCTGATTATTTTGTATCAGGATATTTTTATTTGTAAGTCGTTAGCAATAAGAGTCATTTATTTCATGTCATTATACATTTCATAGTTTGTTATAAAAAAGGTTAAAATATGCCATTTGCATTACATTTAAAACTGTTCATGAATACAGGTCATTTCATTTATGGTGCACAAGTTAAAACCCCGGGATATTTTATTTAGTTGTTTTTGACTTTGCTGGTGTCAATCACATACGTAGCTACGCACTGCGTAAGGTGAGTGAGCGAGCGAGAGAGAGAGAGAGAGAGAGAGGAAAAAAAGAAACGAGGAGCACGAAGCAATGAACTGCAATGGCGACGCTCGCAGAAGATTTGCTCTTGCGAAAAACAGACTAAAAAGACTGTAGAGCTGTGCTACTGTTGGACTGGATAATTCCCCTTGTTCCGGAGGACCGTGGAGGACTCGTGGACGATCAAGGGCAGGGCTGGACTGGGACAAAAAAACGGCCCGGGCATTTTTTCCTTCTTACCGGCCCAGGCATGTTTTTGTCACGTTTTTTACAGTTTGTTTATACCAGGGATCGGCAACTCAAAAGGTTCAAAGAGCCATATTTGACAAAAAATACTAAAAACATCTGTCTGGAGCCGCAAAAAAATAACAGCCTTGTATAAAGCTTATATGAAGGTTACACAACATTAGCTACATTAGCCTTATATCTAAATGACAAAGTAAAGGCTACAAATACATAATAAGCATTCATGATTGTCAAATGTGTGTTTTCACTGCAGCGTGTCCTGGAGAGAATGACGCACCACGTGATGACTCTGCTTTAACTTTGACTTCCATTTTTTTGCCTTCATGCAACTGTAGAAATACAGTAAATAAATCTGCTTTTTGGCTCAAAGGTCACACACCTGCACTGTCCGCTCATATCGATCACGTCACAGGCTGAAGTTTGCTGGAGCTGAATGTCCTTAATGGCCTTTTCTTTCACAGTCTTTGCGGAGGTTTTTGAAATCTGAAAAAGGTGCTCCGGATTTTGTATGAAAGAATCCTTCACGTAATCCCTGTGAACGGTATTTAGTGCTTCATTGTTCCTCGTGTTGCAACAAAACTTCCTATTACATCGCAAACATGAAGCAGTCCTTCCTCATTGACTGAAAGCAAATGTTCAGTCTTGTTCTTAGTCCAGTCTTATTATCGACTCGTTCTCTTTTTATCTTTGGGATCCGTGCGCACACGCCGGTTTGTTTACAGCAGCGGCCGCCTGCCGCGGGGCCGCGCCACAGGATATGACTCACTACGTTGACAGAAATGTTGAAATTGAATATTACTTATACACATTTTTACAGCATTGAAAAACGTTAAGAATGTTTTTCCTCCTACAGAAACCACATTCAAATTAGGAATAAAATATAGCCCTCCCACTCCATTTTCAGACATTTTTGAAAAGGCTCCAGGAGCCACTGGAGGAGCACTAAAGGTTGCCGACCCCTGGTTTATACAGTATGTGGAAGCATACTGTAGAGGATCAGGATGTGTACAGTTTCAACAATAACATAAAGTACAATAGTCTACATTACAAGAGAGTAATAAACATGTCTCAGAGTGAGGGAGGTGGACGCAGACAACACTGTTGTTTGTTACAGGGATGAGAATTGGTCAAAAAAGTCTGAAATGCATAATGTCAGCCATTGGCTGGCTCTAAATCTGTTTAATTTTTTCACAACATTTTAATTTTGGGCTCAAACATGAACTTTTAATGCAATGGGAAATTTAGGCACCCGAGCTTTAATTTAGTCGCACTTCGAGAGGAGAGGGAGACGCGGACTGTTTCCTGCAGCGGTGTATTTATTGGGTGCACAAATTACGCAAAGACACGCATGGTCCTGTGCACGTTTATGGTCTTGGGTACATGGTCACGTTGCGGCTACGCGCTCACCGTGTTGTGTTGTGAGTGGTTGCCGCGTCCAGCTCAGAGCCGCTGGATGCCGAAACACTGCGGCCGCTGAGGTGGTAGAATCCCGTTCCAGTACATACAGCAGGTGCCCCGCGGACACGCGCGCCCCCTCGAACAGTTCTCAACGGATTTACACTTTTCACAAACATCTTTTTTGTATGAGGCAAACAGACCGGCCCAAATATGGGCATCGGCCCTTCTGGCATTGCCCGGTACGCCCGATGGCCAGTCCAGCTCTGATCAAGGGGGTGAGTTTAAACAATTGTTGCCTACGGGGCTAACAGCAGTGTAGAGTACCCGGCCTCCTGGGAGTGGTACTGGACAGTGCACCCGGCAACAGATGAAGCGGATGAAAGTGGATGGATGTTTTGAAAACGTTGAAGTAGGATTATTGTTTTTCTTTGTTCAAATGTTACAAAAGGTTTATTTTATTGTTAAATTGGTATTTTTGTTCATACGTTTGTAAATCCATCTTTTTACAGAACTCAGTCTCTCTCACTGATTCCTCTTTCTCTCTCTGGTCTCTCTCGGGTCTCTCTCTGGTCTCTCTCTGGTCTCTCTCTCTTGTCTATCTCTGGTCTCTCTCTGGTCTCTGGTCTCTCTTTGGTCTCTCTTTCTGGTCTCTCTTTGGTCTCTCTCTCTCTCTGGTCTCTCTCTCTGGTCTCTCTCTCTGGTCTCTTTCTCTGGTCTCTCTCTGGTCTCTCTTTGGTCTCTCTCTTCCTCTGGTCTCTCTCTCTCTCTCTCTCTCTCGTACTGTAGTTTAACTCCCTAAACCCTGTGTTTTTGTGCCCTTTAGCTTCTGCGCAGCTCTCTGGTGAATAACCGCACTCAGGCCAAAGTGGCGGAGGAGCTCGGGATGCAGGACTTCGCCATCACCAACGACAAAACCAAACGACCCGTGGCTCTGAGGACCAAGACTCTGGCCGACCTCCTGGAATGTACGGACCCCACACTCAAAGACCTACTCTCACTTTATTTATACCAATATTTCACCTGAGTGTGTTCTCTGCCACAACCAGATAAGCTCTCTACAATCTCTCTCTGGTCTCTCTCTCTAGTCTCTCTCTATTCTCTCTCTCTGGTATCTCTCTGGTCTCTCTCTGGTCTCTCTCTGGTCTCTCTCTCTGGTCTCTCTCTAGTCTCTCTCTGGTCTCTCTCTGGTCTCTTTCTATTATCAAAATATTATATTATAATATAATATTATCAAAGTCAGAGCGTGGGAGAAACATCTTTGGTCTTTGTTAATGGATAATGTGTAATATTTGCTCTTAAACTTCCATCTGACGTTAATCTGTCCTCTCCCATAATGCCGCTGTCCTCTCCCATAATGCTGCTGTCCTCTCCCATAATGCCGCTGTCCTCTCCCATAATGCCGCTGTCCTCTCCCATAATGCCGCTGTCCTCTCCCATAATGCCGCTGTCCTCTCCCATAATGCCGCTGTCCTCTCCCATAATGCCGCTGTCCTCTCCCATAATGCCACTGTCCTCTCCCATAATGCCGCTGTCCTCTCCCATAATGCCGCTGTCCTCTCCCATAATGCCGCTGTCCTCTCCCATAATGCCGCGGGTGTCCGTCTGAGGTCCATTGATCTGCCTTTGCCTTTGTGCTGGCGTCGCTCTGTCAGTTTCTGTGTGATGTGTTTATGACGAGTGGCAGATTGAGCAGCATTTAAGCCGCTGCTCACAAATGGCCGTCTTTGTTGGAGGTCTTTAGCGAGCGCCGCCAGAGCAGGTCCAGATTACACGCTCAAACACTGTCAGAGAAATGACACATAAACATTTGGTGGTTTGGGAGCAGTGCAGAGAGAGGGCGATAGGGGGCGCTACCATAGACTGTAAAAATGAACGGACGTAGTCACGCCTATCTCCGCCGTTCAATCAAATGGGCCAAAAATTGTGCTCTACTGGAGCTATCCAAAATGGCCGCGCGAGTGGTCTCTCCCACAAGAAAATTGTGAAAAAACGCATCTGCGCATGCGTCAGCCGGAGAAAGCCCCGTTCATTTAAACGAGAGACTTAAAAATTCACAGGAACTAAACTAGACTGGTCCAGAACACCCCCCTCAGCATTGACACACATGTGGAGCTTTGGGCCAAGAGACAACCTTTGGACCATCCTGTAAAGACTGGGGTGGTATTGCAGCATGTCAGCGCACGTCATTTTGGCCACTTTTGAGCCAGGACCTCCCCCACTGGCCGCTACACTGAAGAGAGGCTGGGGTTTGTGGGACCTTCTTTGGATAGTAACCTTGCCTGCAAGCTGAATTCTCGCGGTATTTGTGAGTTCACAAACACTCGAGTAGAACATCTAGGTGTTCAAGCCAATCACGCGCCAGTCTGGGGGTTTAGGGCGGGATATCCGGGTTTGACAAAAGCAAGAAGTGCCGGGCCAAAGCAAAACAAAGTCCCCCTCCATTCGATGTAGTAGGCGAAGACACGATGTACACATCCGTGACGATTTGGATTTATCATCAGTGGCACCCAAGGTCTGCTAATCTGTTGATCACGCATTTGTCAGACGATCGACTTTCAAAAATTAGCGTTGTGTTGGCGAGGCTGCCTTTAATCCGCAAATTCCTACAACAAAAACGGCAATTCAACGACATGATGATAAAGCAGTCATAGGCCAAATAAATTTAGTCCAGCGCAACTTATGGTGGTTTCTCAGGGCGCACGCCGATGACGACATAATGTTACCGAGATTGGTTTAAGTCAAACCTTGGTAGGCGGGCACACAGCGTCACTTCGTCCAATCAGCTTGAAGTATTCTGCTGCTTATCCCTGCTTTCCCCGAAAGGATTCTCCTGCAGAAGTCCCAGATTGATATTGTGGAGAACGCATTAGAGTTCTACACAATCATCAATCTGGCTCTTGCCAGGTTATTTGGATAGACCTCTCTCCACATGGACTAGAGGCCCCCAGCGGTACTGCAGATGCAGACTCAGAGTATGTGTGCGATAATAACACCTGTCTGTAATGTTTAAATGTCTCGTGTCTGAGCACACGGACTGAAGCTGAGTGTAAGAATCCAAACATCATTTTACCAAAAATGAAAAAACCGTGAATCACCTGTTTTCTCTGAAATTGTTCATTTCATATGAACCATCATCATTTCCCTTTTAGATTCTCAACAAGAGAAGGGAATGGGGGGCAGGGGGGGAGGGGGGGAGGGGTCTGAGGCACGAGGGTCACGTATCAAAATGAGGCCACATAAACCTGTTTCGTGGCCTGCAGCAAAACTCAAGACAGAAAATGGCTTCATTACTTTACTGTGTGTGTGTCTGTCTGTGTGTGTGTGTGTGTCAGTGTGTTTGTGTGTGTGTATCTGTATTATTCTGTGTGTGTTTGTGTGTGTGTGTGTGTCAGTGTGTTTGTGTGTGTGTGTCTGTATTATTCTGTGTGTGTTTGTGTGTTTGTGTGTGTCAGTGTGTTTGTGCTTGTGTGTGTTGGTGCTTGTGTCTGTGTGTGTGTATTTGTGTGTAGCTTTTGTCTCGTGGCACAGACCTCTCCTCGACCTTCAGTGTCGTCCTCGGGCAAAAACACTGAGATCCTCGTGTTGTTTATGACACAATAATAAACCATGAAACAACAAGAATTACCTCCTTAGGCCACCAGGGGGCGCAGAGTGCACTGGTTTTAATAGTACATTACTGGCTGCAAACACATTGTGGCAAAGACCTGGATTTTACTTTAAAATTTGCCAAAACTAATTCAGAAACCTGCTGTGGGTGTGATGTCACAGTGATGTCACAGTGGTATAATGACATCATACTGTTACAAGAGCTTTTTGACAGAAGGGGCGGGGCTACGTGCTTGGGGCAGTAGTTCCTGATATGAGCGTGGATGGACCTCGCTCTTCTGTGTGTCAGTAGTCTTTGTGTCTGTTGTGTGTGTGTCTGTCTGTGTGTGTGCCTGTGTGTGTGTGTTGTGTATCTGTGTGTGATGCCTCTTCTCTCTCTCCACAGCCTTCATCGCTGCTCTTTACATCGACAAAGACCTGGAATATGTCCACGCCTTCATGAACGTCTGCTTCTTCCCACGTCTCAAGGTACAGGAGAGAGGAGAGAGGAGAGGGGAGAGAGAGGGAGGAGATTAATTTTTTTTTTTTAATTTTTAAACAGACCTTTATTTATCCATTAAACAGGTCAAATGACATCACATGTTACACACAGTAATGTATAGAACAAAGACAGTTTAAAAATCCGGACATAAAAGTGCAAAAAAGCAAATACTGTAATAAATAAACAACGCAACACTTCACACACTTCAATTCATAGGTTTACAACGAGAAAAAGGCAGAAAAAAACAGCTCCCCGTCCCTCACAGAAAATAAAAGGAAAAACACTAACCACTGAAATCAGTTGGGACCCTCACTGGCCACTTGGGCCCTGACTTTGCTCAGAAATTTCTTAAGCCTGAATCTCTCCTGGTCTGTGAGAGCGTCCTCATCCTGAGAGCTGGAGCTCCACACCATGGGGCCGGGCCGTCTCAGAGAAAAGCTTCAGGTTAGGAAAGTAGTTTTCTACTTTAACACTCCTCATTCCTTTAGTGTCTCTCAAAAACTTTCTTATGTCTACAGCTGAATATGACTTAACACCTTTACTCAAACTGCGTGTGACTTTAAACGGTTTCTCAGTGCTCTGAGAACTGCCTCCCTTTCTCTTCTGAGGATAAAGACACTGCTCCCCATCTGACATCTCATCTAAATACTCAGAGTCACTGTCTCCCACACTGCTCAGCTCCTGGCTCATGTCACACACCTGCTCCTCGGGGGGAGGAGGAGTGCTGTCAGGGTCATTGACAGCAGTGGGGGCCCCCGCAGCGGGCTCCACCGCGGACCCCGCAGCGGGCCCCACAGCGTGCTCCACCGCGGGCTCCACCGCGGGCCCCACAGCGGGCCCCGCAGCGGTGTCTGGGTTGTCGGGGGGGTCCCCAGCAACGCCGTCCGCGGGGAGAGGAGAGAGGAGAGAGAGGGGAGAGAGGAGAGAGAGGAGAGAAGACAGGAGAGAGAGAGGAGAAAGGGAGGAGAGAGAGGAGAGAGGGGAGAGAGAGGGGAGAGAGAAGAGAGAGGAGAAAGGGAGGAGAGAGGGGAGAGAGGAGAGAAGACAGAGGAGAGAGAGAGGAGAGAGGAGAGGGGAGAGAGAGGAGAGATGAGAGAGGAGAGAGAGGGAGGAGAGAGGAGAGAGGAGAAAGGGAGGAGAGAGAGAGAGAGGAGAGAGATCACTGTGAGGAGGAAATGAACAGAAAAGTAATAACTTTCTTTTCTACAATTTGTCCTGCTCCTCCTGTCCCTGTGTGTCCTGCTCCTCCTGTCCCTGTGTGTCCTGCTCCTCCTGTCCCTGTGTGTCCTGCTCCTCCTGTCCCTGTGTGTCCTGCTCCTCCTGTCCCTGTGTGTCCTGCTCCTCCTGTCCCTGTGTGTCCTGCTCCTCCTGTCCCTGTGTGTCCTGCTCCTCCTGTCCCTGTTTGTCCTGCTCCTCCTGTCCCTGTGTGTCCTGCTCCTCCTGTCCCTGTGTGTCCTGCTCCTCCTGTCCCTGTTTGTCCTGCTCCTCCTGTCCCTGTGTGTCCTGCTCCTCCTGTCCCTGTTTGTCCTGCTCCTCCTGTCCCTGTGTGTCCTGCTCCTCCTGTCCCTGTTTGTCCTGCTCCTCCTGTCCCTGTGTGTCCTGCTCCTCCTGTCCCTGTGTGTCCTGCTCCTCCTGTCCCTGTGTGTCCTGCTCCTCCTGTCCCTGTTTGTCCTGCTCCTCCTGTCCCTGTGTGTCCTGCTCCTCCTGTCCCTGTTTGTCCTGCTCCTCCTGTCCCTGTGTGTCCTGCTCCTCCTGTCCCTGTTTGTCCTGCTCCTCCTGTCCCTGTGTGTCCTGCTCCTCCTGTCCCTGTGTGTCCTGCTCCTCCTGTCCCTGTGTGTCCTGCTCCTCCTGTCCCTGTTTGTCCTGCTCCTCCTGTCCCTGTGTGTCCTGCTCCTCCTGTCCCTGTTTGTCCTGCTCCTCCTGTCCCTGTGTGTCCTGCTCCTCCTGTCCCTGTGTGTCCTGCTCCTCCTGTCCCTGTGTGTCCTGCTCCTCCTGTCCCTGTGTGTCCTGCTCCTCCTGTCCCTGTGTGTCCTGCTCCTCCTGTCCCTGTTTGTCCTGCTCCTCCTGTCCCTGTGTGTCCTGCTCCTCCTGTCCCTGTGTGTCCTGCTCCTCCTGTCCCTGTTTGTCCTGCTCCTCCTGTCCCTGTGTGTCCTGCTCCTCCTGTCCCTGTTTGTCCTGCTCCTCCTGTCCCTGTGTGTCCTGCTCCTCCTGTCCCTGTTTGTCCTGCTCCTCCTGTCCCTGTGTGTCCTGCTCCTCCTGTCCCTGTGTGTCCTGCTCCTCCTGTCCCTGTGTGTCCTGCTCCTCCTGTCCCTGTGTGTCCTGCTCCTCTTGTCCCTGTTTGTCCTGCTCCTCCTGTCCCTGTGTGTCCTGCTCCTCCTGTCCTTGTGTGTCCTGCTCCTCCTGTCCCTGTGTGTCCTGCTCCTCCTGTCCCTGTGTATGACTCACAGGTACAGTCTGTATCCAGAAGCGCCTCATCAATAGCCGTTCCTTTTGTGTCTGAATCAATGCTGCTGCTAAACACAGCTAGCTTCCCCTGATAGCGCTAATGGCCGTGCGCTAATGGCCGTGTGCTAATGGCGCTAGCATTGACCCAAACCTGAGCATCTCCCAAATCCACACTATTTCAGTCCCGGTAAATGGGAATCGCAGGTTATCGGCGCGGTAATCTCACTCCCGCGGCTCCTTCCATCGATCGCTCAAGTATTTTCTGCGGTGATAGCCGGAGTGTTACCCCCGGGAAATGTTTATGAAAGTCAGGGCTAAGACTGGACGGATGGGAGTGGGTTTTAAAGGGGACTTCTGGTAATATGTGTATTTTTAAAGCCTTCAGTCTAGGTTTCAATGTTTGACCAATCAGAGGCAGTCGTGGAGTTGGCTTTAGCTCACTGCTCCCACTGCTTCTGCGTTTGTCAAAATTTCAGTTTTAGGTCCTGTCCACACGAAGTCAAGCTCAGGCCTAAACGCAAAAATACTTTATCAATCCAGTGTATGGTCCATACGAGGCCGGCGTTTTGGGGGGGTGTAAACGAACATTTTTGAAAGTAGGTCCCAGAGTGGAAAGATTTCAAAACTCCGTATATGCCGCTCCGTGGTTACTGCCTCTCCGCAATGTATCTGAGACGCTTGCGTCATCGCCCCGCCTCTTGTTAAAGCACGCATGCGCCGCACTCAGAAAATAATGACAACAACAATGTAGCTTGTTGGTTTTGTAATCCAGTGTGACCCGAAGCAACAGTTCAACCTCATCGTCCGTCCATACTAATGTAGTACCAGCTCGCCCACTCGCCATGTTATCTGTTTACAAAATTCTGCGCATGCCCAGTTCCCGTCACGGAAGTTCGGGCTTGATCCCGTCATTGCGTCACAGCGCCACCAACAGGTCTGGCATAGTTTCACAGCGTTTTCAGGCGTATTGACTACATTCATATGGACGCACACATTTACTGAGCTAACTCCGTGTTTACAGAAAAAGTTTCTGAAATTATAAGCGTTTTGTCTTCGTGTGGATATAGCCTTAAATTCCCAAACTCTGCAATGTTTTGATTAAGGATGGGTCAAATTTAGTAATGTTTCATCTCGTGTTGAAGATGGTTTTTGAATGAAGTTGAAGCGGCTGTAAGATCGTCAAATGATCGGAGAGACGGCAGCAACAACACACTGGAAACATGGATCTATCATAGTACGTGGACCAGATGTCTATGTAAATAACCCTTACTTACTGAGAGGAGGAGTCAGAACCGTCCACAGAATGAGGCAACGACTGAAGGACTTTGCATTCGCTAAATCAGATAAACCACGACAAAAGTGTTCAGATCGTCTCCGTGAGTGAAGTCAACGATGACATTGCTCTGCAGCTGTGTGTGACCTTGGTCAGTCACGGGCGCCACATAAATACATCGCACTGGACTTCAGCGGCGTCTTTCACCGTTGATCCGTGAAGTATTTTTGCGGTGAGAGCCGTTTCTAAACCCAGAGCTGCCATCAGACATCTGCTGGAGGAGGAGGCGCCACACGTCTGTCTTTTCCAACGGCAAATAAGAGTCAGAGGAGAGTCCCCGACGTCACCGAGGTCACGGTCCAGACACGAGACATGTTTTAGACTAGAGCTAACTCAAACAGGAGAAGGCCCTCTCTGGTCTCTCTCTGGTCTCTCTCTGGTCTCTCTCTGGTCTCCCTCTGGTCTCCCTCTGGTCTCCCTCTGGTCTCCCTCTGGTCTCCCTCTGGTCTCCCTCTGGTCTCTCTCTGGTCTCTCTCTGGTCTCTCTCTGGTCTCTCTCTGGTCTCTCTCTGGTCTCTCTCTGGTCTCTCTCTGGTCTCCCTCTGGTCTCCCTCTGGTCTCTCTCTGGTCTCTCTCTGGTCTCTCTCTGGTCTCTCTCTGGTCTCTCTCTGGTCTCTCTCTGGTCTCCCTCTGGTCTCTCTCTCTGGTCTCTCTCTGGTCTCTCTCTGGTTTCTCTCTGGTCTCTCTCTGGTCTCTCTCTGGTCTCTCTCTCTGGTTTCTCTCTGGTCTCTCTCTGGTCTCTCTCTTTGGTTTCTTTCTGGTCTCTCTCTTTGGTTTCTCTCTGGTTTCTCTCTGGTCTCTCTCTTTGGTTTCTCTCTGGTCTCTCTCTTTGGTTTCTCTCTGGTCTCTCTCTGGTCTCTCTCTTTGGTTTCTCTCTGGTCTCTCTCTGGTCTCTCTGGCCTCGCTCTGGTCTCTCTCCTCCTCTCTCCTCTCTCCTCCTCTCTCCTCTCTCTCCACTCTCTCTCTCCTCTCTCTTCTCTCTCCTCTTCTCCCTCCGCTCTTCTCTCTCTCCTCACCTCTTCTCTCTACTCTCTCCTCCACTCTCCTCCTCTCTTCTCCCTCCGCTCTTCTCTCTCCTCTCTCTCCTCCACTCTCCTCTCTTCTCCCTCCGCTCTTCTCTCTCCTCTCTCCTCCACTCTCCTCCTCTCCTCTCTCTCCTCTCTCTCCTCCACTCTCCTCCTCTCCTCTCTCTCCTCTCTCTCCTCTCTCTCCTCCTCTCTCCTCTCTTCTCCCTCCGCTCTTCTCTCTCCTCTCTCTCCTCTCTCTTCTCTCTCTCCTCTCTCTCCTCTCTCTCCTCCACTCTCCTCTCTTCTCCCTCCGCTCTTCTCTCTCCTCTCCTCTTCTCTCTACCCTCTCCTCCACTCTCCTCCTCCTCTCTCTCCTCTCTCTCCTCCACTCTCCTCTCTTCTCCCTCCGCTCTTCTCTCTCCTCTCTCCTCCACTCTCCTCTCTCTCCTCTCTCTCCTCCACTCTCCTCTCTTCTCCCTCCGCTCTTCTCTCTCCTCTCTCCTCCACTCTCCTCCTCTCCTCTCTCTCCTCTCTCTCCTCTCTCTCCTCCACTCTCCTCTCTTCTCCCTCCGCTCTTCTCTCTCCTCTCCTCTTCTCTTTACCCTCTCCTCCACTCTCCTCCTCCTCTCTCTCCTCTCTCTCCTCCACTCTCCTCCTCTTCTCCCTCCGCTCTTCTCTCTCATCTCCTCTTCTCTTTACCCTCTCCTCCTCTCTCCTCCTCCTCTCTCTCCTCTCTCTCCTCCACTCTCCTCTCTTCTCCCTCCGCTCTTCTCTCTCCTCTCCTCTTCTCTTTACCCTCTCCTCCACTCTCCTCTCTTCTCCCTCCGCTCTTCTCTCTCCTCTCCTCTTCTCTTTACCCTCTCCTCCACTCTCCTCCTCCTCTCTCTCTCTCTCTCTCCTCCACTCTCCTCCTCTTCTCCCTCCGCTCTTCTCTCTCCTCTCCTCTTCTCTCTACCCTCTCCTCCATTCTCCTCCTCTCTCCTCTCTTCTCCCTCCGCTCTTCTCTCTCCTCTCTCTCCTCTCTCTCTCCCTCCACTCTCCTCCTCTCTCCTCTTCTCTCTCCTCTCTCTCCTCCACTCTCCTCCTCTCTCCTCTCTTCTCCCTCCACTCTTCTCTCTCCTCTCTCTCTCTCTCTCTCTCCCCACTCCACTCTCCTCCTCTCTCCTCTCTTCTCCCTCCGCTCTTCTCTCTCCTCTCTCTCCTCTCTCTCTCCCTCCACTCTCCTCCACTCTCCTCTCTCTCTTCCTCCACTCTCCTCCACTCTCCTCTCTTCTCCCTCCGCTCTTCTCTCTCCTCTCTCTCCTCCACTCTCCCTCTCTTCTCCATCCGCTCTTCTCTCTCCTCTCTCTCCTCTCTCTCCTCCTCTCTCCTCTCTTCTCCCTCCGCTCTTCTCTCTCCTCTCCTCTTCTCTCTTCTCTCCTCCGCTCTTCTCTCTCTTCTCTCTCCTCTCTCTCCTCCTCTCTCCTCTCTTCTCCCTCCGCTCTTCTCTCTCCTCTCTCTCCTCCACTCTCCTCTCTTCTCCATCCGCTCTTCTCTCTCCTCTCTCTCCTCTCTCTCCTCCTATCTCCTCTCTTCTCCCTCCGCTCTTCTCTCTCCTCTCCTCTTCTCTCTTTTCTCCTCCGCTCTTCTCTCTCTTCTCTCTCCTCTCTCTCCTCCTCTCTCCTCCTCTCTCCTCTCTTCTCCCTCCTCTCTTCTCTCTCCTCTCCTCTTCTCTCTACCCTCTCCTCCACTCTCTTCTCCGTCCTCCTCTCTGCTCCTTTCCATCCACATGACTGAGACATCCAGGCCAGTGGCATCAGGAGCTTCAGGAGCGTGAGACCCCAGAGATGTGAAAGTGGAAAAGGCAGAACTCAGACAGATGGATTAGAGCCCGCACTCTTCTGCTCTCTGGGAAATTAATGGGAGTCGACAGCGGTCCGTCGTCAGCGCTGCTTTTATGACGTCCCCGTTAATGGAAAGGCTTTCTGCCGGTCCCCGTTGGTTTGGAGAAATGCACGTCTCGGCCCACACCTGGGAGACGGCGGCGTACGGAGAGAGCGGCCTTTTGTCTGAAGCACAGAGTGATTTGTTATCGCTAAAACACGAGAGGCGCACGCAGTGAAAGGGTCAGAGCTAAAGACGTTTTCACATTCGCTGAGTCCAGGAGGAGACACGGATATTGCTCAGAACATCGCCTCCATGTTGGAGAGGGTCTTTCAGGGCAGGACCAAAACCACTCTGTGAGAAAGAAGCCGTTATTAAAAAAAGAGATAAAACTGTTTTCCCAGATCATAGTTTGAGTAGATTCAGGTGTTTTTCTCACGTCTGAAAGTCATGTTTTTGTTTTTACATCATGTGACTGCTTCTAGATGCGTCTTAAATCTCTCCCTTTCTGGTCTCTTGTCTCTCTCTGGTCTCTCTCTGGTCCCTCTCTGGTCTCTCTCTGGTCTCTCTCTGGTCTCTCTCTGGTCTCTCTCTAGTCTCTCTCTGGTCTCTCTCTAGTCTCTCTCTGGTCTCTCTCTAGTCTCTCTCTGGTCTTTCTCTAGTCTCTCTCTGGTCTCTCTCTGGTCTCTCTCTGGTCTCTCTCTGGTCTCTCTCTGGTCTCTCTGGTGTCTCTCTGGTCTCTCTGGTCTCTCTCTGGTCTCTCTAGTCTCTCTCGGGCCTCAGTCAGGGGCCTCAGTCGAAGTCGTGTCCAGTCAAACTGGTCCTAATGTAATTCTCTGTGTGTCTGTGGCAGGAGTTCATCTTGAACCAGGACTGGAACGACCCCAAGTCTCAGCTGCAGCAGTGCTGCCTGACCCTGCGCACCGAGGGCAAGGAGCCCGACATCCCTCTGTACAAGTGAGGGACTGGAACTCAGAACTCTCTCTCTCTCTCTCTCTCGCGCTCTCTCTTGCTCTCACTCTCTCTCTCGCTCTCGCTCTGGTCTCGCTCTGGTCTCGCTCTGGTCTCACTCTGGTCTCTGTCTTGTCTCTCCAATCTTGTTATTTACAATTTCTAACTTTCATTTTGGATCTTTCTGGCTGGTCTCTCCTGTGCTGGTCTCTCTCCTGTGCTGGTCTCTCTCCTCTGCTGGTCTCTCACCTGTGCTGGTCTCTCTCCTCTGCTGGTCTCTCTCCTCTGCTGGTCTCTCTCCTCTGCTGGTCTCTCACCTCTGCTGGTCTCTCACCTCTGCTGGTCTCTCACCTCTGCTGTTCTCTCACCTCTGCTGGTCTCTCACCTCTGCTGGTCTCTCACCTCTGCCGGTCTCTCACCTCTGCTGGTCTCTCTCCTGTGCTGGTCTCTCTGCTGGTCTCTCTCCTGGTCTCAGAGCTGTTTACAGATGTAAACATCAAATATTCAGTGACATTAATAATGCAGCTGCAGCAGTTTTACAGCACAGGAACATTCTTTATTCATATTTATTTATTATTTATTTATTTATTTATAAGTCAACAACGAAGTTATGGACCAACTGCAACCTTCAAGATTAAACCAAATCTCTAATCTCTCTCTGGCCTGTCTTTTTGGTCTCTGGTCTCTCTCTGGTCTCTCTCTGGTCTAGAGAGAGACCAGAGCAATGACGGTTACCTTTATTGAGCTGCTCTTTTCCTCATCCACAGTGTGCTCTCTCATTAATGTTTGTTGTGTTCCAGGACTCTGCAGACCGTGGGCCCGTCTCACGCTCGCACTTACACGGTGGCGGTGTACTTCAAAGGCGAGCGGATCGGCTGCGGCAAAGGACCGAGGTCAGTCTGACGTGGCCTCATTCACACTGAGCACATCCATCTCCAGGAGCGGGCGGTAACTTAGATGGACTGTGAGATCAATAGAATAAATCTCAACTCAGAAAACAGAATCTGTGTCTGAGGCTGTTGCATGTTACTGGAGGCGTAACGAGCCGTGGAGCCGTGTTCGGGTGAGTTAAGTCAGTGGTTTTTGGGTCTCCAGCCTGTGTCTCTGAAGCAACCAGTAACTCACCGCCCCAAGCAGCTTCCCACATGGTTTGCAAATGACAAGAGAATGCTAAAACCTATGCATCTCAATATCATCTCCTCCCTTGTTGTGGTTAAGAGGGAGCAGCGTCTGCAGTCAAAGCTCTCGATTTACCGTTCAGTCTCACTTCTGGTCTGGAGTTTTGGGTAGTGACAGAAAGGACGAGATTTTCAGGTACGAACTCTCCACATGAGATTCCTCTGCAGAGTGACTCCTTTAGAGATCAGGCGAGGAGCTCAGTCATGCGGGAGGAGCTCGGGGTAGAGCTGCTGCTTTTTCACACGACCAGAGAGAGAGACCAAAGTGAAACCAGAGAGAGGGACCAGAAAGAGACTAGAGAGAGAGACCAGAGAGTGAGACCAGAGAGTGAGACCAGAGAGTGAGACCAGAGAGAGAGACCAGAGAGTGAGACCAGAGAGTGAGACCAGAGAGTGAGACCAGAGAGAGAGACCAGAGAGAGGGACCAGAGAGAGGGACCAGAGAGAGAGACCAGAGAGAGAGACGAGAGAGAGACCAGAGAGAGAGACCAGAGAGTGAGACCAGAGAGTGAGACCAGAGAGTGAGACCAGAGAGTGAGACCAGAGAGTGAGACCAGAGAGTGAGACCAGAGAGTGAGACCAGAGAGTGGGACCAGAGAGAGGGACCAGAGAGAGAGACCAGAGAGAGAGACGAGAGAGAGACCAGAGAGAGAGACCAGAGAGTGAGACCAGAGAGTGAGACCAGAGAGTGAGACCAGAGAGTGAGACCAGAGAGAGGGACCAGAGAGAGGGACCAGAGAGAGAGACCAGAGAGAGAGACCAGAGAGTGAGACCAGAGAGTGAGACCAGAGAGTGAGACCAGAGAGTGAGACCAGAGAGTGAGACCAGAGAGTGAGACCAGAGAGTGAGACCAGAGAGAGGGACCAGCGAGAGACCAGAGAGTGAGACCAGAGAGTGAGACCAGAGAGTGAGACCAGAGAGTGAGACCAGAGAGTGAGACCAGAGAGTGAGACCAGAGAGTGAGACCAGAGAGTGAGACCAGAGAGTGAGACCAGAGAGTGAGACCAGAGAGTGAGACCAGAGAGTGAGACCAGAGAGTGAGACCAGAGAGTGAGACCAGAGAGTGAGACCAAAGAGTGAGACCAGAGAGTGAGACCAGAGAGTGAGACCAGAGAGTGAGACCAGAGAGTGAGACCAGAGAGTGAGACCAGAGAGTGAGACCAGAGAGTGGGACCAGAGAGTGGGACCAGAGAGTGGGACCAGAGAGAGAGACCAGAGAGAGAGACCAGAGAGTGAGACCAGAGAGTGAGACCAGAGAGTGAGACCAGATAGTGAGACCAGAGAGTGAGACCAGAGAGAGAGACCAGAGAGAGAGACCAGAGAGAGAGACCAGAGAGTGAGACCAGAGAGAGAGACCAGAGAGTGAGACCCGACATAGACCCGAGAGAGTTGACAGTTACCTTTATTTAAAGTAAAAACACGTTGCTCCTGTCCTTTAGCTCTGTGTCTTCTACAGCTGTATTTCACAGCGTACGCACACGGCTTTTGACAGCTGCAGCAGCTCAGACCTGTCCCGGCCTGTGCCCTGCTACAGTCAGTCCAGATCTGATCATGAACTGTTTTGGTTTCAGGCCAGATCGGACACAAGCGCAGCCTCCCTCTGGTGCTTTCAGCCTCCGTCACTGTCTGTGGTATTTACAGCCTCTAAGCCGCGCTGCTGTCACTCCAGATATTTCCAAAAACTTTCCGCACCGACACCGTTCACCTGCTAAGCTCTCTCAAAACACACAAACAAACCAGGCGCTCGCTAATCCCCGCCGCTCCTCATACAGCACAAAAAACACAATATCTAAGACTTAAAATGGAGGATTCCGGCGCTTAATCCCGATTGGAGAAGAGGTGGATAACGAATCGTCTACAAGGAAATGGAAATTGTTTTTTTTTAAAGATGCAAAATCCATTGTGTCCGTAAAGAGGTCCGTCTGTAAGAGTCTGAACAGGAGGACACATGGTTATATATTCAAGAAGTTCTCAATATTAATCCAATGAGCCAATAATCTCTCTGCTCTTTCTCTCTGGACTCTCTATGATCTCTCTCTGGTCTCACTCTGGTCTCTCTCTGGTCTCACTCTGGTCTCTCTCTGGACTCTCTATGATCTCTCTCTGGTCTCACTCTGGTCTCTCTCTGGTCTCACTCTGGTCTCTCTCTGGACTCTCTATGATCTCTCTCTGGTCTCACTCTGGTCTCTCTCTGGTCTCACTCTGGTCTCTCTCTGGTCTCTCTCTGGTCTCACTCAGGTCTCACTCAGGTCTCTCTCTGGACTCTCTGGTCTCTCTCTGGACTCTCTGGTCCTCAGTGCACTGCGCTGTGACTTTAGATACTGATTTTAAAGGGAAATTAGAAACATTTAATTTTGTCTCGTGCGAAATTTAACGTTGCCTTTGTAAAAAGCAGACACGGGTCTCACCAACACGCCAACCTTTCCCACTGTTGTCTGTAGTAATGTTAAAGTACAGTACATGAAGTGATGAGTGTCCTGTTGTGTCTGCAGTATCCAGCAGGCGGAGATGGGAGCTGCCATGGACGCCCTGGATAAATGTGAGTCCACACACACACACACACTGTATACACCAGTGTCATGGGGGTGGTAGCATCGCGCTGTGGGGCTGCTTTTCTTCAGCAGCAACACAGAAGAGTTCATGGGAAGAGGTGGAAGGAGACAATCACAGGACATCCTTCAGCTTTCACTTCACAGTTTTTTCCTTTTTACAACTGAAAATCTAATGTTACTGTTTTTAAGAAGTTCAAGGTGAATGAAAACATTTACAACAAAATGACAAAGAAAGTCGAGTAGAGTAGAGTAGAGTAGGGTAGAGTACTCTACTCTACTCTAGAGTTTCTCTCGCCCACTGGTTCAGATTTCTGGATAAAAACACTGCTTTACTTCTTCGTCTTCATCCGTTTCTTTTCACGTCCGTTTCCTCGACTTCGTGGACGTTAAACATTTAATTCCTCCCGGACTGAAGGGGGCAGGAGCGTGTGGCGGCCGCGGCTCAGGGGCTGATAAAATGTGCATGAGTTTGGGACCTGGCGCCCGGACTGCAGCTTTTAATGACCGCAGTGGACCACCTCAGACTGATGGATGTTAGCGGCACAGAGGCAGAGAAATGGGCCTGTATGGGGTTTGCATGTTCTCCCTGTGCCTTGTGAACAAATCAGACCACAGCTGTAGACCCAGGACTGAGGCTGTAGACCCAGGACTGAGGCTGTAGACCCAGGACTGAGGCTGTAGACCCAGGACTGAGGCTGTAGACCCAGGATTGAGGCTGTAGACCCAGGACTGAGGCTGTAGACCCAGGACTGAGGCTGTAGACCCAGGACTTCAGGACTAAAAAACACAGAAGTGGAGATTGTTCTTCTGTCATGTAACTCCTATAGTCTGTGCTATAGGAGTTAATACACAAGCAACGGATGTCTTTCTGGTCTCTCTCTGGTCTCTCTCTGGTCTCTCTCTAGTCTCTCTCTGGTCTCTCTCTGGTCTCTCTCTGGTCTCTCTCTGGTCTCTCTCTAGTCTCTCGCTGGTCTCTCTCTGGTCTCTCTCTGGTCTCTCTCTGGTCTCTCTCTGGTCTCTCTCTGGTCTCTCTCTGGTCTCTCTCTCTGGTCTCTCTCTGGTCTCTCTCTGGTCTCTCTCTGGTCTCTCTCTGGTCTCTCTCTGGTCTCTCTCTAGTCTCTCGCTGGTCTCTCTCTGGTCTCTCTCTGGTCTCTCTCTGGTCTCTCGCTGGTCTCTCTCTGGTCCCTCTCTGGTCCCTCTCTGGTCTCTCTCTGGTCTCTCTCTGGTCTCTCGCTGGTCTCTTGCTGGTCCCTCTCTGGTCCCTCTCTGGTCTCTCTCTGGTCTCTCGCTGGTCTCTTGCTGGTCCCTCTCTCTGGTCCCTCTCTGGTCTCCCTCTGGTCTCTCTCTGGTCTCTCTCTGGTCCCTCTCTGGTCTCCCTCCGGTCTCCCTCTGGTCTCCCTCTGGTCCCTCTCTGGTCTCCCTCCGGTCTCCCTCTGGTCTCCCTCCGGTCTCCCTCTGGTCTCCCTCCGGTCCCTCTCTGGTCTCCCTCTGGTCCCTCTCTGGTCTCTCTCTGGTCCCTCTCTGGTCTCCCTCCGGTCTCACTCTGGTCTCCCTCCGGTCTCCCTCTGGTCCCCCTCCAGTCTCTCTCTGGTCTCCCTCCGGTCTCCCTCTGGTCTCCCTCTGGTCCCCCTCCAGTCTCCCTCTGGTCTCCCTCCGGTCTCCCTCTGGTCTCCCTCCAGTCTCCCTCCAGTCTCCCTCCGGTCCCCCTCCAGTCTCCCTCCGGTCCCCCTCCAGTCTCCCTCCGGTCCCCCTCCGGTCTCCCTCCGGTCTCTCTCCGGTCTCTCTCCGGTCTCTCTCCGGTCTCCCTCCGGTCTCCCTCTGGTCCCTCTCCGGTCTCCCTCTGGTCCCTCTCCAGTCTCCCTCTGGTCCCTCTCCGGTCTCCCTCTGGTCCCCCTCCGGTCTCCCTCTGGTCCCCCTCCGGTCTCCCTCTGGTCCCCCTCCGGTCTCCCTCTGGTCCCTCTCTGGTCTCTCTCCAGTCTCCCTTTGGTCCCCCTCCAGTCTCCCTCTGGTCCCCCTCCGGTCTCCCTCCGGTCTCCCTCTGGTCCCTCTCCGGTCTCCCTCTGGTCTCCATCCAGTCTCTCCCTGGTCCCTCTCTGGTCCCTCTCTGGTCTCTCTCTGGTCCCTCTCTGGTCCCTCTCTGGTCTCTCTCTGGTCCCTCTCCGGTCTCTCTCTGGTCTCTGGCCCCTGCAGCGTTCTGTCTTAAACACAATCCGTTTCTTTCTTCTCTAAATGAAAACGCACACATTTCCATAGATTAAACGCTGTAGTTTTTGTTCCTGCGGCTGCGGCGGCGTGTTGCTTATTCTCCCCGCGCAGATGGAACCCGCTCCTCGTCCCAGTTCGCTCCTTTTGATTGCTTTAATAGGATGCAAGTCTTATCTGGCGCCCTTCTCTCCGCCGCCATAATAAGGAATTAAACATTGGTTAAAAGGAAATAATACGTCCTTTTCTGTGCGTCTGAAGTCGGCGTCGGTGAAAAGCAGCTCGTCTCTGGAGCAAAGCGGGTTTTGGAGTTGGACCATTCAAAAGCGGCCCAAAGACGCTTTTGTTCGTTTTCTTTCCGCGTTGGACCAGAATGAGACCGATGAGGTCAGACGCCGCGAGAAGTAATTCACGGCTCAAAGGAAAGATACGCAAGAGTTTAAAAAAGACACGTTTTTGGGAATGTTTTGACCGTTTTCACCGATTTATTGTTCATGAGTTAAAGTAGCTAACATTACTTAGCAAACTCTCTGGTCTCTCTCTCTGGTTTCTCTCTCAGGTCTCTCTCTCTGGTCTCTCTCTCTGGTCTCTCTCTCTGGTCTCACTCTCTCTGGTCTCTCTCTCTGGTCTCTCTCAGGTCTCTCTCTGGTCTCTCTCTCTGGTCTCTCTCTCAGGTCTCTCTCTGGTCTCTCTCTCTGGTCTCTCTCTCAGGTCTCTCTCTGGACTCTCTGGTCTCTCTCTGGTCTTTCTCTTGTCTCTCTCTCTGGTCTCTCTCTGGGCTCTCTCTGGTCTCTCTGGTCTCTCTCTGGTCTCTCTCTCTGGTCTCTCTCTCTGGGCTCTCTCTGGTCTCTCTCTGGTCTCTCTCTGGGCTCTCTCTGGTCTCTCAGGTCTCTCTCTGGTCTCTCTCTGGTCTCTCTCTCTCTCCTCTCTCTCTCTGGTCTCTCTCTCTGGTCTCTCTCTGGTCTCTCTCTCTGATCTCTCTCTGGTCTCTCAGGTCTCTCTCTGGTCTCTCTCTCTGATCTCTCTCTGGTCTCTCAGGTCTCTCTCTGGTCTCTCTCTCTGATCTCTCTCTGGTCTCTCAGGTCTCTCTCTGGTCTCTCTCTCTGGTCTCTCTCTGGTCTCTCTCTGGTCTCTCTCTGGTCTCCCTCTCTCTGGTCTCTCTCTGGTCTCCCTCTCTCTGGTCTCTCTCTGGTCTCTCAGGTCTCTCTCTGGTCTCTCTCTCTGATCTCTCTCTGGTCTCTCAGGTCTCTCTCTGGTCTCTCTCTCTGGTCTGTCTCCATGGGCTCTCTCTTGTTTCTTTGGTCGGTCTCTTGTCCAGTGAGAGACCAGTGAGAGAGACCAGAGTGAGAGACCAGAGTGAGAGACCAGAGTGAGAGACCAGAGTGAGAGACCAGAGTGAGAGACCAGAGTGAGAGACCAGAGTGAGAGACCAGAGAGAGAGACCTGAGAGAGAGGCCAGAGAGAGAGACCAGAGAGAGAGACCAGAGAGAGACCAGAGAGAGAGGCCAGAGAGAGAGACCAGAGAGAGAGACCAGAGAGAGACCAGAGAGAGACCAGAGAGAGAGGCCAGAGAGAGAGACCAGAAAGGGAGACCAGAGAGGGAGACCAGAGAGAGAGACCAGAGAGAGAGACCAGAGAGAGAGGCCAGAGAGAGAGACCAGAGAGAGAGTCCAGAGAGAGAGACCAGAGAGAGACCAGAGAGAGAGACCAGAGAGAGAGACCAGAGAGAGAGACCAGAGAGAGAGGCCAGAGAGAGAGACCAGAGAGAGACCAGAGAGAGGGACCAGAGAGAGAGACCAGAGAGAGACTAGAGCTTTAATTTAACGCTGTGGAACCTAATATTTCAAACCACTAAATATCGTCCTGTCTTTAGAACCACAGAAAAGTGAAACAAAGACGACCACCCTCTCTCAGCCAATCAGCTCTCAGCCAATCAGCTCTCAGCCAATCAGCTCTCGGCCAATCAGCTCTCAGCCAATCAGCTCTCAGCCAATCAGCTCTCAGCCAATCAGCTCTCACAGGTTTCCTCAGTTGAAGCATGTTTTGATCTGAAGCGTCGTTCTGTCGTACAAACATGAGTTATTTAAGCAGCACAAAAGTCAGGTATCTGAGCTTTAAAGTCCAAACTAAAGAGATGTTTTTGTAATGGCCGCCTCAGGCCGTTCCCTTTGGATTCTGGGACGTGATGTTAGTGTTTTGTACAAATAAGTTTTTTATTCACAATCGCCTAAATAATAAATGAGACAAAAAGAGACTCAAAATGTTCTTCAGTCAATAATTCAGTAAGATTTAGGGGCTGTGGACCCAGGACTGAGGCTGTAGACCCAGGACTGAGGCTGTAGACCCAGGACTGAGGCTGTAGATCCAGGACTGAGGCTGTAGACCCAGGACTGAGGCTGTAGATCCAGGACTGAGGCTGTAGATCCAGGACTGAGGCTGTGGACCCAGGACTGAGGCTGTAGACCCAGGACTGAGGCTGTAGACCCAGGACTGAGGCTGTAGACCCAGGACTGAGGCTGTAGACCCAGGACTGAGGCTGTAGATCCAGGACTGAGGCTGTAGATCCAGGACTGAGGCTGTGGACCCAGGACTGAGGCTGTAGACCCAGGACTGAGGCTGTAGACCCAGGACTGAGGCTGTAGATCCAGGACTGAGGCTGTAGACCCAGGACTGAGGCTGTAGATCCAGGACTGAGGCTGTGGACCCAGGACTGAGGCTGTAGATCTAGGACTGAGGCTGTAGACCCAGGACTGAGGCTGTAGATCCAGGACTGAGGCTGTAGACCCAGGACTGAGGCTGTAGACCCAGGACTGAGGCTGTAGACCCAGGACTGAGGCTGTAGACCCAGGACTGAGGCTGTAGACCCAGGACTGAGGCTGTAGACCCAGGACTGAGGCTGTAGATCCAGGACTGAGGCTGTAGACCCAGGACTGAGGCTGTAGACCCAGGACTGAGGCTGTAGACCCAGGACTGAGGCTGTAGACCCAGGACTGAGGCTGTAGACCCAGGACTGAGGCTGTAGACCCAGGACTGAGGCTGTAGACCCAGGACTGAGGCTGTAGATCCAGGACTGAGGCTGTAGACCCAGGACTGAGGCTGTAGACCCAGGACTGAGGCTGTAGACCCAGGACTGAGACTGTAGACTGTTGTAGACTGTTTTATACTAAGGATTATCATCAGGTGTATAATGTTTAGCTTGAGTTTAGTGAAATTCAGGGAAGACTCGAGGACAAGGTTTCTGTGATATAAGTTTCATTTTGAGGAACAACATGTCTCTCTCTTATCGGAACAAGGCCTGAGACACAAAACCAGACTAGACCAGACCCAGACCAGGGCATCAGACCATATGACGTCATCGGACATTTTGTTTGTAGTCTGAGCAGGACAGACCGAGAGCATGGCAGAGCTCCTGATGTTCTCTGCACATCCACAGGCCTGGTTAGTTTTAGGGAATTAAAAACTCAGAGAGCTTTGTAGTATTATTTAATTGTAAAGATAATTAAATATTGTTCTATTTTTAACTCTCAAATGCTTGGTCTTATTTCTGTATCAAATTCAAACACAATGTATCTTTGTTTTGATGGTTCTCTCTCCAGGTTCTCTCTTCTGGTTCTTTCTTCTGGTTCTCTCACCTGGTTCTCTCTCCTGGTTCTCTCTCCTGGTTCTCTCACCTGGTAGACCTGGTGCGAGTGACTTCCTGTTTCTTGTTTTCACAGATAACTTTCCGCAGATGGCGCATCAGAAACGCTTCATCGAGAGAAAATACAGACAAGAGCTGAAGGAGATGAGGAGAGAGCGAGAGAGACAGGAGCGAGAGAGCGACGAGGGGGAGGAGTCAGGGAGCAGGAAGTGAGGCGGGGAGGAGTCAGGCAGCAGGAAGTGTGCAGAGGGAGGAGTCAGGGTGCATGAAGTCAGTAGGGGGAGGAGTCAGGCAGCAGGAAGTGTGCAGAGGGAGGAGTCAGGCAGCAGGAAGTGAGAAGGGGGAGGAGTCAGGCAGCAGGAAGTGTGCAGAGGGAGGAGTCAGGGTGCATGAAGTCAGTAGGGGGAGGAGTCAGGCAGCAGGAAGTGAGAAGGGGGAGGATTCAGGCAGCAGGAAGTGTGCAGGGGGAGGAGTCAGGGTGCATGAAGTCAGTAAGGGGAGGAGTCAGGCAGCAGGAGGTGAGGAGAAGGCGGAGTCAGGGAAAAGGAAGTGAGGAGGGGGAGGAGTCAGGCAGCAGGAAGTGACGGGGAGGAGCCAGAGACCAGGAAGTAAGGAGGGGGAGGAGTCGAGGAGCAGTAAGTAAGGAGAGGGAGAAGTCTGGCAGAAGGAAGTGAGGAGGGGAGGAGTCTGGCAGAAGGAAGTGAGGAGGGGAGGAGCCAGAGACCAGGAAGTGATGATGAGGAGTGTCTTGGAGTCGCTCCCAGTCCCAGCTCTATTGATGTCAGAACCGGATCAGAAATCCAGAGAGAGACCCAGAGATGGACCAGAGAGAGACCCAGAGATGGACCAGAGATGGACCAGAGAGAGACCCAGAGATGGACCAGAGAGAGACCCAGAGATGGACCAGAGAGAGACCCAGAGATGGACCAGAGATGGACCAGAGAGAGACCCAGAGATGGACCAGAGAGAGACCCAGAGATGGACCAGAGATGGACCAGAGAGAGACCCAGAGATGGACCAGAGAGAGACCCAGAGATGGACCAGAGATGGACCAGAGATGGACCAGAGATGGACCAGAAAGAGACCCAGAGATGGACCAGAGAGAGACCCAGAGATGGACCAGAGATGGACCAGAGAGAGAGACCCAGAGATGGACCAGAAGGAGAGGCCAGACTTTGCCCCTCTGATGTAGAAGTGTTTATGAATGTCGTCTGTAAATATTTAAAATGTTGCTTTCAGAAATAAACATGTGACTAAACCTTGTGGTCTCTGTTTAACGGTCGAACAAGATGATTTTATATTTATGTTTTTGGAACGTAAGGATTTACAACTTCTCAAATATAAAACGATACATTATGAATAAACAAGTCGGAAGAATCTGTTTCCATTTCCTTTTTTAAAGAGTTTGTTCAGAAGAAAAACTAAAGAATTCTGTTTGAAAAAGCAACATATGAAGCATCAGAGGCCAGAGAGAGACCTCAGAGAGAGAGAGAGACCTCAGAGAGAGAGACCTCAGAGAGAGAGAGACCACAGAGAGAGAGAGACCTCAGAGAGAGAGAGACCACAGAGAGAGAGAGACCTCAGAGAGGGAGAGAGACCACAGAGAGAGAGAGACCTCAGAGAGAGACCACAGAGAGAGAGACCTCGGAGAGAGAGACCACAGAGAGAGACCACAGAGAGAGAGAGACCTCAGAGAGAGAGAGACCACAGAGAGAGAGAGACCTCAGAGAGAGACCACAGAGAGGGAGAGACCTCAGAGAGAGACCACAGAGAGGGAGAGACCTCAGAGAGAGACCTCAGAGAGAGAGAGAGAGACCTCAGAGAGAGACCACAGAGAGGGAGAGACCAGAGAGAGAGACCTCAGAGAGACCAAAGAGAGAGACCTCAGAGAGAGAGACCACAGAGAGAGAGACAACAGAGAGAGAGAGAGACCACAGAGAGAGAGGCCAATAAGAGCGAGACCAGAGACAGAGAGACTTGTTCCGTTGACAAATCTTTTTTTATTGTTTTTATTTAAAATGCATATCAGCAAATATCACAATGTCAAGTTTTTTTAGCTGATTGCCCCTTTTTTCTCTCTCTGGTCTCTGTGGTCTCTCTCCGGTCTCTCTGGTCTCTCTCTTTCTAGCTGGTCTCTCTCTCCGGTCTCTCTCCGGTCTCTCTCTGGTCTCTGTCTCCGGTCTCTCTCTCCGGTCTCTCTCTCCGGTCTCTCTCTCCGGTCTCACTCTGGTCTCTGTCTCCGGTCTCTCTCTCCGGTCTCTCTCTCTGGTCTCTCTCTGGTCTCTCTCTGGTCTCTCTCTGGTCTCTCTCTGGTCTCTCTCTGGTCTCTCTCTGGTCTCTCGGCCCAGGAGCCTCAGATTGATGTCACATGCAGAGGGTCTGTCTTTCTGTCACTCACTGTAATGAATGATGCTTTCTGTCGCTGTAGATCTTAATTATAGATTTTCTAATTAACCGTTTTGCCGTCGCCTCCGGACTGAGACGAGCCACATGAAAACAGAGCTGTCGGTTCTACTCTCTCTCTCTCTGAGTCCATTTCACCAGGGTCTCTCTTTTAATTAGACCTTCATTTGATTTCCAGTTTGAGGGTCTTTAGCCCCGTTTCCACCACCCCTACCTCACTCTACTCTACTCTACTCTACTCTACTCTACTCTACTCTACTCTACTCTACTCTACTCTACTCTACTCGCCTAGACCCTACTCTACTCTACTCACTACAGTCACTGTTAGAACACTTTGGTACCAGCTCGGCCTGGATAGAACCAAGACCAAGAGAGACTAAAGAAGGACCTGGTACTGGTTAAACAGGAGCAGAGGTAGGGTAGGGTTGGGTAGGGTAGGGTAGGGTTGGGTAGGGTAGGGTAAGACTGGTGGAATAACTACATTTCCCTTTTAATTATGGTCTGAGTGGGGTTTCTAGTTATAGAAAACATAGAGACAGGTGAGAGACCAAAGAGAGAGAGAGGGGTGAGAGACCAAAGAGAGAGAGAGGGGTGAGAGACCAAAGAGAGAGAGACAAGTGAGAGACCAGAAAGAGAGACAGGTGAGAGACCAGAGAGAGAGAGAGACAGGTGAGAGAGAAAGGTGAGAGACCAAAGAGAGAGAGACAAGTGAGAGACCAGAGAGAGAGAGAGAGAGACAGGTGAGAGACCAGAGAGAGAGAGACAGGTGAGAGACCAGATAGAGAGAGTCAGGTGAGAGAGAGACAGGTGAGAGACCAGAGAGAGAGAGACAGGTGAGAGAGAGACAGGTGAGAGACCAGAGAGAGAGAGACAGGTGAGAGAGAAACAGGTGAGAGACCAAAGAGAGAGAGACAGGTGAGAGACCAGAGAGAGACCAAAGCTGTTGTATATAGTCCAACCCTCTGGTGGTAGAAGTGGTGAACTACACGCTAAGCTCATGGGTCTTTCTCTTCTTTATTGTTTTCTTTGAGTTATGTCTGAAGTAAACACTGAGACACAGAACCATGAATAAAGACAAAATGGCGGCCGTCAGATTTTTCAAAGATGTTTTATTGTGTCATATAAATATTCAGTACAAAATCTCACGGTTTACAAAGCAGGTCGATGCTCGGCCAGTGACGTCAGGCCCGTTTTTACTCTACCACAACCTCTGCCACAATTCTACTGTTTGAACAAAGAAAAAACTGCTCCATCAAAACAGTTCAGCCACAGTACATCAGGAGGCTAGCTGTGGGGTTAGCCGCCGGAGCTAGCACTGGCGTTAGCGGTCAATGCCCGATTCAGCGGAAGTTTATATGTTTGATTGGTTTTTAACTCGGATTATTCTTTGAGTAGAGTAAAGTAGGGTAGGGTAGAGAAGTGTAGAGTAGAGTAGAGTAGAGTAGAGTAGAGTAGAGTAGAGTAGAGTAGGGTAGGGTAGGGTAGGGTAGGGTAGGGTAGGGTAGAGTAGAGTAGAGTAGAGTAGAGTAGAGTAGAGTAGAGTAGAGTAGGGTAGGTAGAGTAGGGTAGGGTAGGGTAGGGTAGGGTAGGGTAGGGTAGAGTAGAGTAGAGTAGAGTAGAGTAGAGTAGAGTAGGGTAGAGTAGGGTAGGGTAGGGTAGGGTAGGGTAGGGTAGAGTAGAGTAGAGTAGAGTAGAGTAGAGTAGAGTAGAGTAGGGTAGAGTAGGGTAGGGTAGGGTAGAGTAGGGTAGGGTAGGGTAGGGTAGGGTAGAGTAGAGTAGAGTAGAGTAGGGTAGGGTAGGGTAGGGTAGAGTAGAGTAGAGTAGAGTAGAGTAGAGTAGAGTAGAGTAGAGTAGGGTAGGGTAGGGTAGGGTAGAGTAGAGTAGAGTAGAGAAGTGTAGAGTAGAGTAGAGTAGAGTAGAGTAGAGTAGAGTAGAGAAGTGTAGAGTAGAGTAGAGTAGAGTAGAGTAGGGTAGAGTAGAGTAGAGTAGAGTAGAGTAGGGTAGGGTAGAGTAGAGTAGGGTAGGGTAGGGTAGGGTAGAGTAGAGTAGAGTAGAGTAGAGTAGGGTAGGGTAGGGTAGGGTAGAGTAGAGTAGAGTAGAGTAGAGTAGGGTAGGGTAGGGTAGGGTAGGGTAGGGTAGGGTAGAGTAGAGTAGGGTAGGGTAGGGTAGGGTAGGCTAGGGTAGAGTAGAGTAGAGTAGAGTAGAGTAGAGTAGAGCAGTTTCAGCTCTGTGTTCTCGGTGCGAGGGACATTTGACTTTGAACCATTTTCCTCCCAATATTAAAATGTCTGTTTTTGACCACATTATTTTTCATGAATTTCTTATGATTTTGGAGCATTTCAACTTTATCTGACACTTGTCCTGACTTTTCATATTTGACATTTTTCATCCAATAAATGTCATTTCTAGTAATAGGAATAAGATAAAGATAATTCTGTCCACATTCTTGAGGGTTTGGCTGTTTTGTAAACGTAAGATGGCCGACACTTCTCTCTTTCAACAGTCGCTGAAATATTCGTGATAAACTTTTACTCTGAGGATTTAGTGAAACTGATTTTTTTTTAAAAATGGTGCTAAATCGGGCAATGACTGTTAGCTGCGCGGTTAGCATCGGGAGCTAGCCGTGTCTACACATCTACTACCGCACACCAATCCATATATGGACATCCGCGTTACCATGGAAACAGGCTCAAAATGGACGAAGTGATGAGAGTTTCATAAACGCATGAGTGTTGCTATGGTGACGACAATTTAATTTAATTTACAAACCTGTGATATTTGTTCCATTAGAAAACATCAGTTTGGCTTTAAATTTAAATGTTAGATTTATTTTAAAAAGTGTTTTGTCTCCAGTCATTGAGTCGTTCCAGTCGCTGTGCTCTGATTGGCTGAGGCCAACGGCTGCACTATATAAACAGTTTGGAACGTTTCCTTCATTTTTAAGTTATTTTTGTACAGTGCAAAGTCACAACAGAATCGTCTCAAAGAATTTCACTAAATTGTTGATTTGCCAAAAGCAGATCAGAAAATCAGTCATTGGTCAAAAATAAAATGAGGGGTCCCATAAAGTGTGTGTGTGTGTGTGTATATGTGTGTGTATGTATGCATGTGTGTATTTACTGTATATTGTGTATGACTTTGTCACTTTAC